ATATCATGAAAAAGTCCTTAAAACGGAATTTATCCTTTTTTTATGAACTTTCTCCGATCAAGAACTTTCATTTATTATTTTTAATTATAGTTTCTCTATAAACGTGACTTTAGCATATATAGATGTATAGATTTAATGTGAAGAAATTATCAAAATTAAAAACTTTTAAAGTTAGAAAACCCACGATATCTGTTTATCTGTTCATAATCAAATAAAAGTTCTATGAGTACAGTTGCGAAAAGGCTGCACCTGAAATTATAAATACAATCCTTTTGATCAATAAGTTTTTTTAATAAATGTTGGAGGGGGGGGGGGGTTAAACCCCCCCCTTAGAGTTGAGATATATATATAACCAACTAAGTATTTTAAAATTTAAGTTATCTTGATAATTGATAATTGACAAGTTTATTAACATGTGACACGATCGAGTTTAGTTTTCAAGGCCTTTTTTAAATGTGAATTTTATATATGTAGCTGAAATAATTAAAAATATTTTGGATTTTTTAAAACATTGACCGGACTTTTGAAGAACAAAAGACGTGCAGGGGGGTAAATATTAAATACGATTTTTAAAAAAAAAACACAGTAATAACCAGAAAACTCTGAAATGGGAGGACGACATTTTAGCAATACACGTGTATTTGATATTGTTACAACGCAAATAGTATTGATGGAGTCACTAATTAAGTGAAATGAGTCTGTTTATCCTTCACAATTGCTGTGCCCATTGCTTATTAAACTATTAAAAGTCATATCTCGAATGTAAACGCCGTCTTCCTATTCCATAGTTTTCTGGTTTTCACTGTATAATCTTTGTGAAAGATCTGATGATACGAGTATTGTAGAATGCTGGTTTTATCTGCCCTAACTAACTAACTAACTAACTTTACGACTTTTTATGATTGGAAAAGTTTATATCTTTCTAGGCTTTTAGGGCGCTTCGCGCCCATCTTCTATTTAAACTTTTAATTGTGGCTTTATCTGTGAGCATCTTCTCTTTGAACAGTATAAAACAAAAACAAAAAAAAGTTTGCGGATTTCATAATATTTTTTCGCGCATTTTCAAAATTTTACAAAAATAAAAAACTTTTAAACACAATTTTTTTAAATTTCAATCATTCATAAACCTTCCCTGGGTTCCTTAGATGTCCCACAAAAAAATTGGGCCCGATCGGTTCAGCCGTTTTGACGTTTATTGGATACAAACAAACAAACAGACAAACAAACAAACAGACACCCAAGCCAAATTTATATATAGATATATGAAGTTGTAGTCTCTGTTCGTCTGTCTGTTTGTTTTTTTCGATCATAACTGAGAAACCCCAGGGCCGATTTACCTCAACTTTTGATCGGGGAACTCGGAAGAGTCACAGGAATGTCCTTAATTTGGTTTTTAGATTCTAACTTAAGTAAGTGGACTTTAATAGTGAAAATTTAGTTTCAGGGAAAATCGTCCAAGTGCAGGTAAACGGTTGGAGTAACTTTGAGTGTCCTAGGCAACGCTCGGTTCCCAGGTTGGTATAAACAAAAAATTGCAATCTCTGTTTGTCTGTTTGTTCGTTTGTCCGATCATGACACAAGAACCCTTGAACCGATTTGTCTCAAATTTTGATTAGAGAGCTCGTTAGCTGATTTCAAAAAGGATCGTTTTTCGTTTTTTAAAGTTCAATTCAAAACTCGAGTGGTTTATTTCTAAAAACTAATAAACGAAACTATCTAGTTCTCAGAAAAAAAATAAAATGAAACGTAAAACTATCGTTTTTTTATCATTTTACAAAACAATGAACTCCCCTTTATGAGTAACCTGGGGAGCGGTGGGTTCCCAAGCTTTCTATCTATATCTATATATATATATATATATATATAAAGTTGTAATCTATGTTAGGGTGTCAGTATGTTTGCTTGTTCATCCAATCATAACTCAAGAACCCCTTGGTCGATTTTCCCCGACTGAAAAACTCGTGAGAGAATATTCTTAGTTTTGAGATTCTAAAATGAGTTGATCGACTTTTATCGGGAAAAAATAGCTGAAATCACAATTTACGACCAAGTGCGGGTAAATGGCGGGAGTAACGTTGAGTAACTTGGGCAAGGCTGGAGCGTTCCTAAATTTTGTGTAATTTTAATTTAAAATGTTGCCCTTTTGATAACCTCTAAACTTCTAGCTTTTTTGTACTAATACTCTCATTTCTAAAACAAATACCTTTATATTTCTGGCTTTTTTCACCAGTATTCTCATTTTGAAACCATAGTATCTTTATATTTCTTGACTTTAGGAAAAATTAATTAAAAATTTCAAAAAAAAATTATGCATTATGTAGAACGTTAAATATTTTTGTATAAAAATCAATATTTGTCTGGCCATTATTTAAAGCCTTCTTGGCACTCGAACCATTAAAGATCATTTTATGTAAGAATTTTTACTCTATGAAAAAGTATTGCAACTCCAAACCTTTACTCTAAGCCAGCCTATCCATAGATTCAGGCCCCCAGCTTTTCTAGAAATGGTTGCAAGCATTTAAGGACATGTGCTCTTCGGAAATCCTTTGCACGCCCCTTTTTATAGGGAGACATTTATTTATTGCTCTTCAAGTCATAATTTTGTCCTGCTTAAAAAACAGGAATTTTACTATATATATATATATATATATGTGTGGACTGAGGTATGTCTTGCAAATGATTGGAATTGCTATGAGGTCACTCATGTGAAATACACCAATAAATCTTGTGTTCTTCACGGGTTTTTGTTTGTTGGGATGGTGCAGGGTTTAGGAGGACGGAATCTCTGTGATATGTCTTGCAAATGATTGGAATTGCTATGAGTTATATAAATAAGTGAAAAAATAAATATAAAAAAAGATCTATCCTAAAATATTTTCTGAGAAAATACAGAGATGTTTTCCTTAGACTTTCCTCACTTAGTTAATGCATTAAATATAACAAGTTTCTCTGATTCTTGAAATTCAAAAAGATTTTTTATAGCAAATGAAAAAAAACGAATTCTGTCTTAATCTGTTCTCATATCAATTCTGAATGATTCTGATTAAAACGGATTGATTCTGATGAAAAGTACCAAATTCTGAATAATTTTGATCAACTCCTTTCAATTCGTTCAACTCCAGTAATTTCTTTCTAATTCCGTCAAATTCTGTTCAATTTTGTTCAATTCTGATCAAGTATATTTAATTGCGTTTGATTCTGACCAATTCTGTCCAATTTTTTACAATTCTGTCCAGCTTTGTCCAACTTTGTCCAAATCATGTCCAACTTTTTCCAAATTCTGTCCAACTTTGTCCAAATTATGTCCAACTTTATCCAAATTCTGTCCAACTTTCTCCAAATTCTGTCCAACTTTGTCCAAATTCTGTCCAACTTTGTCCAAATTCTGTCCAACTTTGTTCAAATTATGTCCAACTTTGTCCAAATTATGTCCAATTTTGTCCAAATTCTGTCCAATTTTGTCCAAATCTGTCCAATTTTGTCCAAATTTGTCCAACATTATTCTAAGCGTGTTTAATTCTGTCAAAAACCTGATTAAAACCCAAGAACTGTCACTAGACTCCATTAAAGTAACTTGAACGCCGCCCACACTATCCCCCTGTACTGCATATATAATGTTTAGCAATGAATATATTCAATTTTCAAAGCATGAACAATAAAGATATTACTCATATAAATAAAACGGTCCTGAAAATAAAGTACCAATGAAAAAAATATGAAACATAAAAGCTACATCAATATGAAAAATTATTAAAACTGAAATGAAATAGATAAATAAATATTTCATTCTTAAATTTGACATACTATCTTATAAAAAGAAAGTCTTACATATTATACAGTGATAACCAGAAAACTCTGAAATAGGAAGACGACTTTTAGAGTCAAGTTTTAGGTTTGAAAGAGTCCAATGAGCATGGAACCAGTAATTATACGGTGTAAGCAGACCCATTTCACTTAATTAGTGATTTGGTAAGTGTCTGTGAAACTATATTCTTTGTAATAGCATCAAAGTATTGCAGTAAAGGCGTCCACCTATTCCAGAGTTTTCTGGTTAACACAGTAATTTAAACTAATGTTATTAATTAACTACTTACTTATTCATTTTAGCCTATTTAACTAATGCACAAATTAGAGATGGTGGATAAAGATAAAACTCGTTGGAAACTTTTTCACATTGGGCCGGTTTTGACAAAATTACATTTATAATCACTTCGCCACACAAGTTCACAGCAAATGTAAATAAAATATTTTTTGCTAATTTTTGTTCGTTTTATCATTAATGTTTTGCTAATACTGGAAATCAGTATAAAATAAATTACATTAATTGCACTAGAAGTTGTCGTACCGTCCCGTGTGCCTCATATAGTCTGTACTTGTACTGTACTGCATCCCCTGGCTCCTTAAGCCCGGTACATGAAATGATAAAGTTAATTAATTTTTAGATTAACTAAAAAAGTAAGTTGAATTAGTTGCCGGTTTTTTTATCATTAAAATTCCTCTTATTGCTTTTATCATTGAAATTCCTCTTATTGCTTTCTTCATTGAAATTCCTCTTATAGCTTTTATCCTTGAAATTTCTCTTGTTACCTTCATCATTGAAAAATTGCTCTTATTGCTCTATCATTGAAATTGCTCTTATTGCTTTCTTCATTGAAATTCCTCTTATTGCTTTTATCATTGAAATTTCTCTTGTTACCTTCATCATTGAAAAATTGCTCTTATTGCTTTCATCATTAAAATTCCTCTTATTGCTTTCTTCATTGAAATTCCTCTTATTGCTTTTATCATTGAAATTTCTCTTGTTACCTTCATTATTAAAAAATTGCTCTTATTGCTTTTATCATTGAATTTCCTCTTATTGCTTCGTTAATAATATTATAAATGATAGCAGATGTTTAAACATCTATTAGTACATCACCATAATTAAATCCAAATGATATGCTAACTTTTATTGATGCTTAAAATTAAGTAAATTACAAATTAAATATATTATTATAAACAGGCAAATACATGTATCTGGTTCCCTTCACATACAAATACATGTATCTGGTTCCCTAAACATACAAATACATGTAGCTGGTTCCCTAAACAGACAAATACATGTATCTGGTTCCCTAAACATACAAATACATGTATCTGGTTCCCTAAACATACAAATTCATGTATCTGGTTCCCTAAACATACAAGTACATGTATCTGGTTCCCTAAACATACAAATACATGTAGCTGGTTTCCTAAACAGACAAATACATGTATCTGGTTCCCTGAACAGACAAATACATGTATCTGGTTCCCTAAAAATACAAATACATGTATCTGGTTCCCTAAACATACAAATACATGTATCTGGTTCCCTAAACATACAAATATATGTATCTGGTTCCCTAAACATAGAAATACATGTATCTAGTTCCCTAAACATACAAATACATGTATCTGGTTCCCTAAACATACAAATTCATGTATCTGGTTCCCTAAACAGACAAAATATTCAAAAATCTGTTTTATTACTTTTTTATGAAAATATTAAATAATAACTTACTTGCAATATCCATGTTTCTTACTACATCCATCACTGCAAACTGGCTCATCACAAAGATGTCCTGTCCAGAACTTGTCATCACAGTTACATTCTCCAGGGTTCGCACAAGTACCATGTTTACATCCTATGTACACAAATACCATAAAGGACAATTCAGGATTTTAGAAAACCAGTTTTTTACCTTCTTTAGTCATACACTCAGTACAATTAGGTCCTTGTACACCACTACCATGCTTGCATAAACATGTATCAGGAGTCTAAATTTTAAAAACACATTTTTACATTTTATTTATTTTGAAACATTAACATTATCGTTAACATCATCACTATAAAGAATTAAAATAAGTTTATACTTTTAATAAAATAATAAATAAAAACTTACATCACAGAATCCAAAATCTGGATCACAACCCTCACTGCATTTGGGAATGTTGCAATCTCGGCCCTAAAAGATATAAATATTGATAAAAAAGATTGTGAAAAATATAAAATATTATTCTTACCTCCCAACCACCCTCACAGTTACATTCAAAAGCTGTATTACATGATCCATGAATACAACCTAGAAATCATTTTGTGAAATTTACAGTTACAGAGACGAGCATTGTTTTTAAGTTGTTTTTAAAATAGAAAAAAGGTCTTTATTGTATTTATCTGTATACCTGGATGCTTGATGCAAGATTGACAAGTGCCCCCCTGGTATCCCATATCACATCTACATACAACAATTGTATTATTGATGATATATCTGGGAATTAGAATAGCTTGGTTCAGATAGGATTTACCTACAAATATCTGGGGCAACACATTTTCCATTATTACTGCATCCATTTATACAAACAGGTTCATCACAGTTATCTCCAGTCCATCCATCTAGATATTATAATAATTATTATTGTTATCATTCATTCTTATCATTGGTATCATCATTATCATTATTTATGTCATTAACATCATTAGTACCATTGCTATCATTGCTAACATTCATTATTATTATCATAACTATTATCAAATGTATCATTATGATCTTTAACTTCATTATCGTCATCATCTTTATTATCATCATTATTATTATAATCATCATTTTTACCATCATCATTAATATCATCATCTTTATTATCATCATTATATATATATATATGTATATATATATGAAAGATACTTACTAACACATGTGAATACACCATCATCTGTACAGAAGTATCTATCAGTATGTTCCAGGTAATAGGGCTGGCATCTTACATCAGAGTAAATCCAGGCCATTATAGGATTAACATATGGATTATATTCTTCCGAACTAAAATACAATATTAAGTATTGATTGAGGTAAATCCAGGCAATTATAGGATTAACATACGGATTATATTCATCTTAACTAAAATATAATATTAAGTATTGATTGAGGTGTATTCAGGCCATTATAGAATTAACATATGGATTATATTCATCTTAAATAAAATATAATTTTAAGTATTGAAGTGTATCCAGGTCATTATAGGATTAGCATACGGATTATATTCATCTTAACTAAAATATGATATTAAGTATTGATTGAGGTAAATCCAGGCAATTATAGTATTAACATATTGATTATATTCTTCTTAACTAAAATATAATATTAAGTATTGATTGAGGTAAATCCAGGCAATTATAGGATTAACATACAGATTATATTCTGCTTAACTAAAATATAATATTAAGTATTGATTGAGGTGTATCCAGGCAATTATAGAATTAACATACGGATTATATTCTTCCTAACTAAAATATAATATTAAGTATTGATTGAGGTGTATCCACTGATCCAGGCCATTATAGAATTAACATATGGATTATATTCATCTTAACTAAATTGTAATATTAAGTATTGAGGTGTATCCAGGTCATTATAGGATTAACATACGGATTATATTCATCTTAACTAAAATATAATATTAAGTATTAATTAAGGTGTATCCAGGCAATTATAGGATTAACATATGGATTATATTCTTCTTAACTAAAATATAATATTAAGTATTAATTAAGGTGTATTCAGGCAATTATAGGCCATCCAACTAAACTCTGAAGAAATTAATTCATTAAAATTTATTTTACCTAAATCTAAAGGCGAAACATACTCCAACTTGTACCAAGGCAAATAGAATGGAAAACATCTTAAAGTATTTTAGAATTATTTTAAGTAAGGCTTTAATTGCATGTTTAATGTTTTAATAGCTTAAAACCAAGTGAAATTTTAAAGTAGAAAGATCAAACGATTTTTTGACTTTTAATTTAATTCCTTTTTTAAAGTTTACATTGTCAGTTTAGACCAAGCTCAGCCCAAATTATGTTACATGTATTAACGTTTAGTGATAGATTTACTCTATACTAAAGCAGCGTTGACTTACATAGACAAATTTTTAACTTTTTCTAAGTTTTTGATGTTTTATTTTTGCGAGAACTGTTGAAAGATGAATTACAAAATAATTAAAAAATCCCCTCATACTCTAATTGTTTTAATCCCTGATGGTGATATTTTTTGTTTTTAAAGTTATTATGTCTTTGTCACAAACTCGGATTTTCTAATCCCCATATCTTTGCAGCCCAATGTCCTTAGATATTTCAAACTATTTATTCTGTTAAATAAAATAATCTAAGTTTAAATTATCTAAGGTTTACACCATCAGGTTGCCAAAAACATAGGGATTAGAAAATTAAAATTTTTGAAAAGACTCAATTCCTTTAGACTATTTGAATTAACTGAATTTACAATTTAGATTTGTAAGGTCTGAATATAATTGCAAAAATATAAGGATTTATATAATTAAAGGAGTTGAGTTTTTGCCACAAAATCTGATTTTCTAATCTCTATATCTTTGTAACCCAATGTCGTAGACCTTAGATATTTCAAACTATTAATAATCAAAGATAAAATAAGCTAAGTTTGAAATATCAAAGGTTTGCACCATCAGGTTGCAAAGAAATTGGGATCAGAAGATTTGAGTTTGTGGCAAAAACTCAATTCCTTTGTGCCTAGTATTCAGCTCCTTTAGAAAAAGTAAAATCTTTGCAATAAACGATGATAAAATTATGGATATTTTGAAAGTTAAAAAAAATATGAATTGAAAGGTGAAAGCTAAAGATTTTATAAGTAAGTTTAATACTACAGTGCTCACCTTGTATATCCACAGAGCTGTAACTCTGATATGATTTTAACTTGAAATAGAGTTTACCAAAACACATAATTGTTTTTGTATTTTAGGTTTCAGGGTTCAGAAATTATGGATTATTACACGTACTTGTTTTCGCTGTTAAAAATAATTTTTTTCTCAAAAGAATAGTAGTTTTTCAACAATTTACACATTTACAAATACTTTACGATTGCTTATATATTTTTAAATGTTTGCCATGGTTCACAAATAGCAGAGTTAAACCACGTAGTTGTTTATGCAAACTCCTTAAAAATAAAATTGTTTTTTCTTCATTGAGGGTTTAGATTTAGACATTTTAAAATACTACACAGACCTTTTTTGTGTCTCCTCCCCCCCCCTAAACAAAAAAAATAACCTTTTTAAATATCATTTTCAAAAATAAAAGATTTCATGATAATTCAATACTGAATCTGCAGAATCTAGAAAAAATAACCTTGTTTACGTTTACATGTTGTTCTCTCTGTATTATGCAGTAAAACTTTGATTTTCTATGCATAAGATAAAGAGATCACAACTTAACCCCCCCCCCCCTTAGTAATACTAAACAACAAGGTGCCTCTCCTTACAAATTAATATTTCTAATTTTTTAATTTTCCCTTTTATAAAAAAGAATTAAAGTTAAAAGATTTCAAGGAAAAATTCCATTTACAAATGGAACGAATCACACCAAGTTTTTAAATAAAAACAAAGAGAAAAAATCCTTATATTAGATAAAACGAACGAATAGTATCGCTAAGTTATTGAAAACATGCAAACGGAAAAAACGGAAAAATGTATTATGATAAAAACAAACAGAAAGAATCTCTCAGCTATTAGATAAAACAAACACAAAGAATCGCTAAGCTAATAGATAAAACGAACAGAAAGAATCGCTAAGCTACTAGATAAAACGAACAGAAAGAATCACTAAGCTATCAGATAAAACGAACAGAAAGAATCACTAAGCTATTAGATAAAACGAACAGAAAGAATCACTAAGCTATTAGATCAAACGAACAGAAAGAATCGATAAACTATTAGATAAACGAACAGAAAGAATCGCTAAGCTATAAGATAAAACGAACAGAAAAAATCGCTAAGCTATTAGATAAAACGAACAGAAAGAATCACGTAGCTATCAGATAAAACAAACAGAAAGAATCGCCAAGCTATTAGATAAAATGAACAGAAAGAATCGCTAAGCTATTAGATAAAACAAACAGAAAGAATCGCCAAGCTATTAGATAAAATGAACAGAAAGAATCGCTAAGCTATTAGATAAAATGAACAGAAATAATCGCTAAGCTATTAGATAAAACGATCAGAAAGAATCGCTAATTGCTATTAGATAAAATGAACAGAAAGAATCTCTAAGTTATTAGATAAAACGAACAGAAAGAATCGCTAAGCTATTAGATAAATTGAATAGAAAGAATCGCTAAGCTATTAGATAAAAGAACAAAAATAATCGCCAGCTATTAGATAAACGAACAGAAAGAATCGCCAGCTATTAGATAAACGAACAGAAAGAATCGCCAACTATTAGATAAAACGAACAAAAAGAATCGATATCTTTTTAGACGGCTGAAACGTCAAAAAAATGAGACATCAAAAATTTAATCAAAATAGTTTTGTTTTAAGCTGCATCATTTTGCCAAGCAAGAGGAGTTAATGAGAAAATTGCACCGAAAACTGTTTTATCATGATTTTTTTAACAATAAAACATTTTTTAGACCATTTATAAATTGTCAAAATATTTTTAAATAGTATGGTGTTGAGTTGGAAAAAAAATTACTTTAACCTTACCGTGCTCTCAGATGAAGCTGAAGAAAGGTGGAAAAAAGATGCGATTTTTCACCTGTTTCTGAATATTCGACCATCAGAAAAAAATCTAAATAATTCTGTCAAATATCGTCAAAACCAAGTTTATCAATTTCCCGATTTTGCCGAGAATTGTTGAAAAAGGCCAAAAATGGCTTATTTGGTACAATTATTTCAAAATTCTAAAATATCATATTTCATTCTTAAAGCTTTCTTAAAAATGTTTTCGCACATCAATGCATTTCTTTTACGGCACCCTCCTCAACTGTGATAAGGTTAACAGAATTTCGATATTTTTAAGAAAATTAGAATTTATCTTAAGCATTCATATTAATATTTAACATGATTAATTGTTAAACAGTACCAAAGTGTTGATTTCTACGGTTGATTAAGTATTTTGTATTGGCCAAGGTCAATAAAATGTTATAGCCATCTTAACAGCACAAATATCCGTACAATTGCATATTCATGAATCAAATAAACTAAGAATAAGAATACAGAACCCATTTGATTTAATAATCATCATCTATATATATGTATATATATATATAAAGTAGTAATCTCTGTTTTTCTGTTTGTTCGTTTTTCCGGTCATTGTTGCGGAACCCCTGAACCTATTTGCCTCAAATTTTGATTTTGGATCTCGGGAGGCCCTCGGGAGTGTTCTTATAGCTTGGTTTTAAGATCGTATACTTTTATAATGAAAAATAGCTAAACTCCTAATTTACGACCAAGCGTGGGACTAACTATGAGTGCCCAAGTTTCACTGCAAGCTAGTTATTGATAATGTAGTAATTATCATGATTATTCTTTTTTTGTTCATAATTTAAAAATTTTTAATTGCATAGGTATATTTCATATAAATCTTGAACTTTATTTAAAATCTGCATAAAGGAGCTTTTTCTTAGGGACTTAGAAGAAGATACAGAGCGTCCCAAAAAATATGGGAATTTAAAGACGACTGGAAAATATTCTTTGATTTCCGACCGAAGTGATAAATGACCAGGAGTTCATCAAAAGAAAGAATTCGACTGTTTGTCTCATAAACTTTAAACAAGAACTCCTAGTTCATTGTACCTTAAAAATTGACCGAGATGTTGTAAATAACATTTTTTTGTTATTTAAGAATCGGAATCTAGACAAACTTATCAATTTGCTCGTCAATAATTCCAAGATCAGTAGTTTTCAGTGTTAAATGTTTTAACTGGGACACACTAAAATTATGTTATCTTACTGCGCGCTTATCTGACAATTGTTTTCATTGTCTTCGTGCAGCATAAATCCATGAGTCTCCTTTGAACAGAAATAACAATTCAAAATGATCAATTTTTTCTTCCATTTTTAAAGAGAAATGAACCTCCGTAAATGTGTAACTTGACATTCCGTTAACACTCTCTTTAAGAGATTATATAGCAAATATTTCTCTGTGTAATCTGTTTATTTCAATTTTAAACATAAAATCTAGGTTTTACTGCCGTATTGTGAACAACATATACGTAGAACAGGCTTTATTTTTCGAACCCTGTTTGCTGTTAAATGTGTCAGTGCAACATGTATTAACAATTGCATAGAAGGATTTGAAGAATGAATGATTTTTTAAAAAAACAAGCAAACAATCAACCTTATGTTTCAATAAATAGTTAATAAAATGTAAAACCTAGTGTTGAATAGACCTGGCTTAAACCCTAGGTAGAGAAGACAGAATTACTGTGCGTTTTCTGTAATTAAGATTGATTCTGAAGGACTGGCATTTTGTGACATGCATAAAAAACGTTTCAACTACTTAACCAATTTAGAAGAAATTTTGTGTGTGACCGAAGGATTTATTTGCTTGTGCGGGATTAAATAATGTTTCAGCTATAAATTTGGTGAATGGTAAATCCACGAATGACCACATAAGTATCTAGCAAAATAAACTCTGAACAATTTCCATTTTTCTAATTCCTATTTCTGTGTGCAAACCGAATTTAATTGATTTGAGAGGTCACTGCACTATAGTTTCAGTAGAAGTAAATATTTCCATTTTGTGTATAGCGACGATTTAAGAATTAATCTCTAATTGGATGATGAGATAGATAGAAAGATGTTACCGCCATACTATATTTCTATTGGTTCAGAATAGACAAAAAACACATGACTGAACCCTGATTGGATCAGGAGCTTATGGACTATACAGGAGTGACTGAAGTACTTACTGCAGCGGGTTCAAATCGTATTTCAAGACCAAGAAATTGATGTGTATCGGAAACTGTGCAGAAAATAATGAAAACCAAAAATTTGTTTTGCTTAGAAAAACTTTCTGATAATATGAGTATGAATATTTTTATATTTTTGCTATTAAACTAAACTTTACTTTAAAGAAAAAATTGTTACTACAATTGTACAATATACAATCTTATGGATCAAAAGAAGTATAAATGAAATTTTTCATGATATTTTCAAAATAATCTTTCATAAATGTGTTTTTTTCCCACGATAGAAGGGTCGTAAAGTAACACTTTTCCGGATTATTGATAAAGATTTAAAGGTTTCGATTATGAATCGGACACTTCCTTTAATAAACCTATTTATAAACATTAATGTTTAAACCTTATATTAAAGCTACTACAGTATAATTGTTAGTAAATATGTAACAAACTTTACCAATTTTAGATCAATAACTACAGCATGATTTATATATCTCGATATTTATACATGAACCCTAAATAATGAAGACTTTAGAATGTTATGTGTTTTTATCTTGTCCTTATCTTATTTATATATTGTCAAAAAGATAATTCTGCTCTACATTGGATGAACAAAGCCACGTTCAAAATGCAATGATTTTGGACAGAATTTCTTTCTGAGCTTTTTTCAAACTATCTCCACATCTGCAGCCTGCAGGCCACCCTTTCTTTACACCTGCAGCCTGCAGGCCCCCCTTTCTTTACATCTGCAGCCTGCAGGCCACCCTTTCTTTACACCTGCAGCCTGTAGGCCCCCCTTTCTTTACATCTGCAGCCTGCAGGCCCCCCTTTCTTTACATCTGCAGCCTGAAGGCCCCCCTTTCTTTACACCTGCAGCCTGCAGGCCCCCCTTTCTTTACATCTGCAGCCTGCAGGCCCCCCTTTCTTTACACCTGCAGCCTGCAGGCCCCCCTTTCTTTACATCTGCAGCCTGCAGGCCCCCTTTCTTTACATCTGCAGCCTGCAGGTCCCCTTTCTTTTTATCTGCAGCCT